TGGGAGGGGAAGCTGGCGAGTCCAGGGGGGCTTGCTGGGTCCACAGGAGGGGGTTGCCTGGTCCAGGGGGAAGGAAGTCAGGGAGCTAAAAACAGCTTAGTCAAGGTCTGGGAGGCAGGGTATGAACAGAACAGTCCTGGGGCTGAGACAAGTGGCTGAACTCTCCCAGCCCCAGTACTGAGCTGTGAATGTGTGCAGGCATGCACGAGGCTGGGTGGTTAATCCTTTGTAGCTCAGGTTAACTCTTTATCCTAATTCCTAACAACTGAGCACACCACATTTTGGGTGATATAAGCCCTGTGAACACCAGCATGCCTAGGCATTTAGATCAACTTAACTCTGGTTACATTGATCTAAAACTAATGCTTCTACACACTGTAATAGAATAGACAACTATATATCTGTAGGCATTTTAAGAAGGGTGGGGGAGTTGCTGATCAGGATGCTACTATGCTGGAGCTGTTTCATCTGCATGACCCTGCAGCAATATAAGTGAACCAAGTCACCCTAATTTTGACAGTGGATGTAGCAGAGTTAAAGTTAGAGTGGTTTTGGTACACTTGTATTGCTACAAACTCATTCAGACATACCAGTTGGTATCAGTAACTTTTGATAGCAATATAGTTATGTCCATCCATACCCTAGGTGTTAGGTTAAAGTGTCTAATAACAGTACGTGTTATGAACAGTAGAGATTTAGGATTATAAATATCAACCATGCACTTTCATCTAGTTAGATGTGAATGACAGATGCCAACAGAAAAAAAGCTCAGGGAACCATGGCTGGGATTGTGCTGCATTGTGCCCCCATTACCTCTGAGAAGTAGCAGCTCTTGAACACACATACATGCACACACGTGCACACACACACACAACACCAAAAAACAGCCAAAAAAGCATTGGGCTTGCTAACATTTTTTTACCCTACCAACTAAATAGATTTTAGGAAAACTAGTAAATTCACAGAATTTTGTTTTTTTTAATATTGAATTGCAAAATAGGAATGACTTGTTGCACAGTTGAATTAACCCTAAAATCGTTTGAAATGAACAGGCTTGAGCGATTGGTAGCATTGTAGCATTTTTTCTATGAAGGAGATAGTAAGTATTTCTAGCTAATATCCTATAGGTGGTACATGTTATTGTTTAACCATGCTTTGTACTTTAGAAAGACTAGCATATTTTTCACTGTTGCTTCACATCTTTAATTCTGTTTGATCTTTACTGTTTTGTCAGTTTTGTGGTATGCAGTTTCAGTGCAAAATGGCAGTGAGCTGTCTGTTACACTGGAAGTAATAAAATGTCACCCGCTGTAAGAAAATCAGGGATCTGTTCCTTTGTGCTGCACCTAAACATCTCTTTGAACAAAGAGTGTGTTAATTTTTTCTCCTTCGTTTTCACTGCAGCCTGATGGGCCCACTCATTTTGGGCACTAGTTGTTGAAGTTTACATGCAGAATGGCATTGGCCATAGACGGTTGCTGGTAGTTAATGATGCTGTGAAAAAGGAGCCAGTTCCATGACAAGAATTAAGATTATTATTATTCTATGGTGCAATGCAATTCTTATTCTGTATGCAATGCTGTAGCTTAGTTGCAGGTGCCCTATCTGAGAACCTTAAGCAACGTATCTTCCATATGTTGTAATATATGTTATTTTTCATTTTGTTCTCCACAGGTACGGTTTCATAGAAGACAAAATTGTACTTCCACGGATCAACCCCTATCACCTTTGTGCAGCAAACTATACAGGGATTTATGTACTTTCATCAAATACAACACAGCCCTATGATACTTACTGTTACAATGCATCAGGTAGGTATTTATTTTAGTGTATATTTGAGAACAAATCTATCGGGAATAATGCAATATCTCACTCAGGTTACTGAAAACTAGATTTTGTGTTGAATTACATCTGTTTTGTTATTTCCTTGTTAAATTGGAGGATCCAGTACATTTTGTCAGTCAGTAGAATGGTGACTGCTGATACCAGCACTGAATTTTTCTAGTTTTATTTTGAACTAAACAACTTTTTGCTCTCATGCTGAATGTGTGGTTGTAGGCCTCAGACCCTTGTACAAGTGAAATGTAGTACTGTGGATATAAGGGCCATGTGTAGAAGAAACGAGAGGCCTGCGTGCATGAAATTTTAAAGCAGGCTAAATGCTTTTGCACTGCTTTAATGGAGTCAGTGTTTGCATGCCTCTGTGGCGTATTGCGCATTTATTCCAGCCGCGGTAAGGAATTCAGCGGCGTAAATGACTTGGGGCACAGCAAACTAAAACTCCTTCAAGGAATTGTAGTTTGCTGCCCCTACAGCCATGGAGCAAAACACCAGGCTCTGTGCACCTCCATGGCTCTGCAGGAAGCCCTGCAGGCAGCCTGGCAGCAGCCCGGGAAGGCAGGCCAAGACAAGTGGCAACCCTGATCTTCCTCCCCACCCTCCCCAGAGCCTGCCTGCCTGCCTGAGCTGTGCAGGGATCCGGTGCTTCCCTCTGCAGTGCCCCCTGAGAATGCCCAAGCCAGGTGCTGCCTGGGGGGTGGGGGTGCTGCCTCCTCCCCCCACAACCCAAGGACCACTCTGCCCACTGGCAGCTCACCTTCCTCTCCCTGCTGGAGAGGCAGGTAAGTCAGTGGGGTGTGTGCATGACACAGGGGTTTAATCAGCCCTATATTGAAGTGGTGTTTTTTAAAACCCAGTGCTTCAATTTAGGGCCCCTGTTTCATCTACATACACACAAGGATGTGAACTTTTGAATGTCATGGCTATAATGAGTGCTGTCTCCAGGGGCGGCTGTAAAGCCCCTGCAGTCCCTGCAGCCCTTGCTCTCACTGGGCAATCACCCTTTCATCTCTCCTGCCATGCCTTAATGACAACACTTATTATATAAAGGTGGCTGCCACAGGGCTTACATTCTGTCCTCCTTATTGACTGTCATTGCCTTAAAGGCTCATTGCATGGCTCCAGTCTGTCCCTACACCATGCCCCATGCCTCACAAGTGTTATCACTTGTTTTTTTCCACTTAGCCCCTCCATGGGCTACTGGACTGTTTCTGGTCCCCCAAACCTTGGCCCCTCTCTGGGCTATGGGCTCCTGGTTCCTGGCTTCTGACCTGTCACTTCCAAGGCCCCACCTCTACCCGGAACCCTCTCTGGTCCGCTCCAGGCCTGTTGCTTCCAAAGCCTGGCTTCCTTCAGACCCGTGTATTCCAAGGTCTGGGCTCCTGCGGGTCTGTCAATTCTAAAGCCTGGCTCCAAACCCCTCCCTGGGTCCCTAGGAACCTCCTCCTCCCCTTAGTTCCTATCCAAACCTCCAGATTGCTGGCTGTATTCTCCCTGCTGGCACTCAGAGCTGTAGTCCTCCTGCTGGGTGATGTTCTCTCACCAGCCTCCAGCTCTTAATACTGGCTCATCTGTGTGCCTGGGCTTATATCCTCTGTAAACCCAGCCCTTCTCCTAGGTCAAATGACTGCAATCATCCCAGGCCATGCCTGCAGGCTGCTGCAGCCATAGCTTGTCTGTTCTGAAAGTGGCAGGAGCACCAAGCCTCCTACCACAATGGCTTCCACTCTTTACATTCATGCACTCGTATATTTCTGGAGCAGGTAAAAGTGAAGTCAGCAAGCTCAAGGAAGAGTCTTGGCTTGCCTTCCTGGTGTACTTGAAGTTTTAGGCATGGAAAAACCCAGGTGTTTATCAGTTGTAGAACAGAAACAGATTACTTCCTGTGTGGATTTTCTTGATGATATACCACAGAGGTCAAGGGGCATGATTCTGAATTGGGATAGGTAAAAGCAACATGTGGCTCTAACTCACTTGCCTGCACACTGGAGCTGGCTGCATGTAGTGGATCCTAAGGGACTGTTCTGCCAGATAAGAATTAACTTATTTCATTAGGAGCTAGATATCAGCATAATACCTTCTAACAGCCCTTCTCTACCTAAGAATCATAGGTGAAGAGCTGCGCAACTCCTACATAGTTCTGGGTAGTAGAGTTGGCTAAAAGGCTATCTAGGAGAGTACTGACTGAATTTGTGAATTTGAGAAAAAATGAGCGTCTTTTGCACTAAAAACATTACTAAATTATTAACATATGAACTGCCATTAAGAAACTTTTCTTAGTATGTTGTGCATAAATCTGTGGCTCTAATCAAACTTTCAGAATAAACTGATTTTTTCTTACTGCTGTTGACTGAACTTTCCTGTTTTTTCCCCTTCTCTTTCAGAAACAAGAGACAAAGCCTGTGAACCAATTCAAAAGCTAGATTTAAGTTTCGATAACTCTTCACTTGCTGATCAGAACCAAATAGGTACAGTATTGCTTCCAGACATTTATCCCACTTTCACCTGTACTAGGTAGCTCTTCACATATGTGATGGAAATGTTCAGTGTTTCAAACAGGTCCAGAGATAGTGCTATTCTACAAGTAATGTAAACAATCCTAACTTTAATTAAATCTTTCTGATGCTGCTTTGATCAAAGAAAACTTTATTTGAGCTTTTCCTGTCTCACTAGGGGTTGTTCCTTCTATACTTTACCTAAACCAGTGGGTTTAGAGATCAATAAGGGATGAAGCCAGACTCTCATATGGATGGATTCATTCCATCAAAGTCACTTGTAAAACTCTCATTAACATTAGTGGGGCCAGCATTTCATCTTCAAAGTCAATCCAAATTTTAACCCATGTACCAGATTGAACCTTATATAAACTGACAAATAGTTAGGTCAGATCACCTAGAAATAGCTTAATGATAGATAAACAGGCAGATAGCAAATGGCCTGACTGATGTTAAACATGATCACCACTATTGCCATTCTTCAACTCCAGTGCATGTGTCCCAGATACAAAAGCTGATCATTTTCTCTTTCCAACAGTCATTGATAATGCAGATGGCTCACGTTATACCGACGGTGTGAAAAATCCTGACCCAACACCAGCTGGCTATGATAATACTGTGGGTAGTGGTTCATCACAGGACACAAGTACAATGATTCATGATGATCTTGCATTGGATTTTTCTGGAGCAGGCAAAAAGCAATATACTTCAACAGGCCCTGGTAAGAATGATGGATTATAACCATTGCAGTTGACATGGTTTCTTCAAATAACTGAGTGAACAATTTCACTGAGGCAGAAGGGGTTCTGAGGCAGCAAAATCTGCAAAGCACTAATTTCAGCTCTAGAGCTCATTGTTATCCACATTTAGGAAAATGTTTAATTCACTGGCTTTTAAACAGAAATGTTAAAATATTTGCTAGAAGTATTCTTATGACACTTTGTTCCTGCTTCATCATTTAGCTTACAGTGGCCCCAAAATACCAAGGCAAGCTAATGCCAACTAGGGCTGTGCAGAGCAGGTAATATTCGATTCAACAGCCATGTCAAATATTAAACTGGGTCCCGCTTCAATTTGCCATCCGCTTCAAGTCGAAGTGGGTCCACTTTGACTCGAGGCCGAAGTTCAGTCGAATATTCGAGCTGCTTCGATTTCCCCATAGGTTATAATGGAGAAGGTCAAAGCAGGCTATAACTTCGGCATTTCTTGTCTGATCCTGATGAAACTTGCAGAAATGATAGCTCCTGAGGAGTCCACAAAGCGTGCCAAGTTTCAACAAGATAGGTTCAGGGGGAACTGCACCCCAAATTCTTGAGAGCAAATCGCCTGTAACTTCTATGACCTTGCTCGCATTTGCAACTGGTCCCTTTTGCCCCCAGTGTTCCAGGGTGCCCACCTCTGCTGTGGGGGGACGGGGGCTGTGGAGCGAGCGGGGGCTGTTCCTGTGGCAAAGGGGTGGTACCTGCGGAGATGATTCAGCATCCCCGAGGTGGTCATGCACTTTGTTCCCTTGCCCCGGCTGATTTTGGCTCGGCAGTGCACACAGATAGCAAACGCGGGATCATAATGATCCCAGACCATGCTAGTACTAGGCCTTTCCCTCTGGCATGCAGGTGCATCTATGGATGCTGCTGAACTCTCCCCCTCTTCAGCAGTCAGAGGCACGGCAAGAGAAAGAGCGGACTCAGCTGAGCCGCTTGCCTTCACCTGTACAGAGGCATCTTCTGAAGTGCCTTCTGGGAAAGACCT